GTTCGTATATACCAGCAGCAAGTACTTACTGATGATCACTGGGTCATTGATAAAGATGAGGTGACTCTGACTGGAGTAGAGCTAGGAAGAGGGTCTTATGCCACTGTTAATGTTGGTATCTTTAGAGGTTTAAGAGTAGCTGTCAAGTCACTTCATACTATCATCATCTCAGATTATAATCTAGCTGTCTTCTCCAGGGAAATGAGTATAGCATCACGAGTACGTCATCCTAACCTGGTCCAGTTTATTGGTGCAACTAAAGTGAGTAATCCTCTTATCTTGACCGAGCTCATGAGCACTAGTCTTCATAAGGAGCTTCAGAAGATTCGATTGACAAAGCAGCAGATTCTGAGTATTGCTCAAGATATAGCTTTAGGCCTCAACTACCTTCACCTGTTTAAGCCTCAGCCTATTATTCACAGAGATGTTAGCAGTCCTAACGTACTGTTAAAGCCTTTTGGACCTGCTGGTTATAAAGCTAAAGTAACAGATTATGGTACAGCTAATCTCCAAGAAACCACTTCTACTATTATGCCAGGCAATGCTGCTTATGCTGCTCCTGAAGCTCGTGATCCTGAACAACACAGTCCAGCAATGGATGTCTACAGTTACTCTGTTCTCCTTATGGAAATGACACTACATCTGCCGCCTGAAATGACACTAGCAAAGAGAGAACAACAGGCTGGTACTATTTCTTGGCTTCCCGTGAAGTCTCTCATACAAAGAGGGCTTAATGCTGGAGCTCGTCCTACTATGGCTCAAGTAATAGAGTCATTGAAAGCAATAAAGATCTGATTTATTTTTTATTTTAATTATTACTCTGTGGCCTTTTAGTATAGTTTACTTTTTCCAAATTCTATTCTAATTCTAATTTTTTCATTTGATTTTGTTCTTCCTGCCTTTCTCTTCACTACCACTCTTTTGTACTGCTTCCTTTTAGAGTATCATGTAATGTTTTTAGTTTAGCCTGTTCTACTACTTTTACCTATTATAAATGTAATTTGTTTTCTACTCAAATTTAATTCAACTCTTATCTTCCATTTTCTATTTGTAATTTCTCTCAGTCTCTTCTATTCCCCCTTCTTATCTATCCTTCTCATTTCTTGCTTTTACTCTTGATTTTTGTAGTAGATCTAGACCTATTATTTTTTGAAATATACACACTGCTTTAAAACCTACCATACATATACATGTATAAAACATAATGCATCAGCAATTATCTGGTATATTAGTCAAGAGAGGCTTTAATTATCATCTTGTTGAACCTGCTGATCTTAACAGTCAGTATAATGGCATTACAGTGTCTTTATGGGAATCAAGTTATTGCAATTTTGTATTTTGGATAAAGTGAGATGATTATCATATGTTCTTTAGATTATACTGATTTATCAACAAGTTCAGTAGTTCAAGTACGTACATGTACACATTATGTACTTGTAATAGTTATTATTAATTACTATCCTCCATTAGCGTCAGATGGTTCAGAGTTCAATATCATCTCATCTTTTTATGTACTACATGACACAACTATCATCAGATGCTACACCTGTATTAGTGCATGGAGAGCAAATGTTAAAAGTAAGAGAGAGAAGGAAGAAAATGTGGATAGAGATTGTATTTCTACAATGATATAATTCATTTTATTTTTGTACAGATATTTGGAGGAGCAAAGCAGTTATGCATACTGGTAGTCATGTTACTATTGAAGTTATTATATTTATTTTATTTTATTTATTATTATTCAGTGGACAGCAGATGCCACTAATGATATGTATGCTGATGCAGTGTTATCTGTTATATTACAAGTATCATCTCAACCAAAGAGATTAGGAGGTATTGGTATCTTAATATACTGATTCATACATGTAGTAATAATGTATAGCGATTATTTTGACAGTGCTTTATTTTGGCAATTCGCTATAGAATTATAATTGGCGGTTTTTAATTTGGCGATTTTTGTGTACACATGCATTAATGATTGGCAGTTTTAATATTGGCGATTCCGCTTGCAAACCACCAATTAATTGCCTAGATATGAATCTGCCAAATTAAAGTGCTATACGCTTGTATTGTGTAAATTGACTCTTGTTTTTATAAATTAGAATTATCTGTTAAGCAAGAAATCACAAAAGATATCAGTTTTGCTAAAAGGTATGCTACTATACTTAAGTCATGTGACATCCAGACATGTGATGGCATTATGATAGATTAATGAAACTGATGAGTGACATGTTTAGAGAGTCCAATGTTATCTGCTCTAGCAACTCAGAGAAGATTGAAGTTATAACAGAAGATATGAAAGCATCCATTGATCCTAATACACTGGTATGGTTATAGACTCAAAACTTTTATCGGGGTTTTTTGTTTGATGAAAATAATAGTTTATCTGTGTACATTTTATAGTATGCTGATCATATACTCTTGATAATACTTTATTTATTTATTAATAGGTAGTGGAGTCTAATGATGAATCATTCCATCATTTGGTCCAGTCAGCTGCTAAAAGACTACACACTGCTTTAAAATTATAACACACACTATCTCATTTATTATAATAATGTGCATAATTTACACAGAGCATTGATAGATAACCAATGCACAGAAAAATTATCCTTTTTTTGGACGTCACGTGATCAATTATTTATAGCAGGCTTAGTTGCAGCTGAGCTCAGCTCAGATCAGTGCTGCTTTCAAAATGTAGCTACTTGGTTGTCGTTGGTTGTAATTCTTTAAGACTTTAACATGAGTGAGTCTCAAAGTAAGCCTGCCATATCTGTTAAAGTGACACAGTTCCATGTTT